GATCCTATTATAAGCCCTAATATGCAATTTATAGTGACCCTACAAAAAAGTAGGTTTTGGTAGGTTAAGGTAGTTCTCAAGATCCTACCAAATATTTCCGGTCTATATTCGCGTCCCTTGGTTTCTGAAACTCCCACAGACCCGCTAGGGTTAGCTTGTAAAAATTGTCAGACTGCACGGTTTCGACTGCATAGATCCCCTGCAGTGAAGTGGGCTTCGGCAATTCGTGGCTCACAAGCTGGAAAAGTCGGACTGGGACTCGGAATTGCGGAGGTCGGAGTTGCCAAGCATCTTAAAAGTTGAGGGCTTGGGGCTGGGTGCTTGTGTGTAGGGACTTCTGTGCAGGTTTACGGCGTGATGTAAGGCTGGCACCGTTGGGTTCCGGGAGGAGGTGGTGAGCTCCTGAGCAAGCGCCGTACGATCTTCCAGAAAGTTGCACAGCAGCTCCAACCCCAGTTTCCTGAGCTTGGTGGAATAGTAATGATCATCAGCATCGTCATCATTGTGACATCATGTACTTTGGCTCAGGGGGTTTTGTTCATCCCTAGGTGCACTAGGCCCTAAACCTTTGAACCCCTTGCTCTCCACTTCGACAGAAGTCGTTGAGGAAGCCAGCTGCTGGGCAGAGACCACGGAGACAAGCAGGCCGCCTTTTTTTGCGCTTGACAGGATGGGATAAGCACTCGCGGTCCTCGCGGTGTGTAGGGTTTTATAGGGACCTCATGGGGTTGATTGAGTTTTTTCAGGGTCTTGGCAGGCCGGTTAGGAGTGGTGCCCGAAATGGCTTCGTGTAACTTACCCGTTGGTAGAAAAAGTTCCGTTATATTCGGTTTACGGCACCAGGTTTTGATGAGTCAGTGTGCATACAAGTATTTCAAGCCCAACGAGAGTTGTGGCACCTCCGCAGTGTGTGCTTTAAGGGAGGGTATGGGTAGGCAACCATAGGATATCCGTTGAGCTTGGATGTCCTGAGGACCCTGCCGCAGCCCAAAATTCAAAATCAACCTCTGGCTGTCCACACACGAATCACCACTAAGACAAACTACTGAGCCCACCTGAAAAGGCCCCAAACCTTGCACAAAACCCCTACATCGGGTTTGACATCAAATGCCCGGCTCTTTATTCGTGCGAGCGAGGTGATCTCCAACCACACGTGGAAAAGGAAGGTCTACTTGCCTAAACTCGACGTGTGTAGACTAAGGCCAAGGACCCCTACAGGGTTTCGAGTTTCGGGTCTCCTACACCCGATCACGCTCTGACACCCAAGCCCCACAACCTGCACACGTAGGGTTATGTTTTACTGAAGATTCGGGTCATGTACTCTGCTCCAGTGGCAAAGGACCCCAAAGTCTTAGAACCTAAAAAGCATCCTGACTGTAAATCGTCCCCCCACCCCTTCCAAAAGCACCCAACATCTTTTGAAACCAGCCTTCTGCATCCTGATCCAAAAGCCCCCAGACTCGCAGTTGAAACCCTCAAAATTAGCACATGGCGGCATAGTCACAACACCAAGGTAAGCTGAGTCGTCAACCCAAACCCTCAGCCCTAGATCCGGAACACTAAGGCGTAAACCAAAAGCCCTTAGCCCTAAAAAAAACCCTAGACCCCAAGCCCTTAGCCCTAAAAAAACACCAAACCCTTAGCCCAAAAAAAACCTTAGCCCTAAAAAACCCTAAACCCTAAGCCCTAAGCCTAAGCCCGAAGCCCTAAACAACCCTAAGCCCTAAGCCCTAAACCCTAAGCCCTAAACCCTAAAAGCCCAAAAAAACCCTAAAAACCTTAAAAGCCCTAAAAAGCCTTAAAAGCCCAAAAGAACCCTCACCTCAAAGCCCTAAAAGCCCTAAGCCCTAAAAACCCTAAGCTTCCAGTGGCCTTTCCCTGTGCCATGGTCGGCTCATGGAAGCTGAACTCCTTGAGGCTTCCGGTCCGGGAGCGTCCCAAAAGGAACTCTGATGCCTTTAGGGGTTGAGGGGTTAGGTTTAGGGTTTAGGGTGCGTTTGGGGATTTAGGGTTTAGGGTTTAGGGTCTACTTGCCTAAACTCGACGTGTACTTGGAGGTTCATGGGTAGTTATAACTAGGGTTATAAGTAGGATAGCTATACTTATAACCCATATTAGGGGAGTTATAACCCTAATTATAACTACCCATGAACCTCCAAGTAATCGTAGTAACACTGATACTTCTCATGGCTTTAGTTTTTTATCATAATAACAATGCAGTTTCTTAGAATTGTGGCTACTGAGATTCTTGGTGGAAGTGTTGTAGTTCTGCTATTTCGGAGTGTCAGAAAGCAAAGAGCCCCGGGGAAGAAAGCCCCAAAGAGTATCTTTGTACAAACAAAGGCCTCAAATCGTATCCTTATCATCGCCAAAGGCCCCACCTTAGAAGGACCCCTGAAGCGGCGCCAACCAGCTGGTTGGGGCTTGCATTGGGAGTTCGTTTCCATGAAGAAGAGCATTTCAAACTGCACCGGCCATCCCTTCAGAACGAGGCAGCGCAGGTGGTTCAGGAGATGAGGCTCCCTGATGCCGATGGTGATGGCACGGTTTAGGGTTTAGGGTGATGATGATGATGATGATGATGATGATGGTGATGATGATGGTGATGAACATGATGATGATGCTGATGATGATGATGATGATGATGATGATGCGGATGATGCTGGCGGGGATGATGATGGTGCTGGTGCTGGTGCTGGGGATTGAGGGTTCGACCGCCCACACGACGCTTGCACGAAGTCATGGGAGAGGCTCGACTTAGTCGTCGAAATATAGTATAATATACCCCCCAAACCCTGGTTATTAAGGGGTAGAAGCGAGAATGGAGTTTGAAGCTGTCTGAACTCTCCACTGTAGTTCTTGCTGAGAGTTGTTCTGTTTGTCTTGCAGAGCCACCTTGCTTCCCAGTGCGGAGCTATTTTGGAGGGCTCATTCATTTTCAATCACCACAAGGGAGTTTCCGAAAATAGGGGACCCTAATATAGTACCCCAAATAGTAGGATCCTTATTATAAGGACCCCAAAATACGGTACCCCTTATTTTCGGAAACTCCCACAAGGTCCAGGATCGTGCAGCAACGGGCCTGACCAGAGGTGCCGGGGTGTCGCAGACGTCTGAAATCCTCAGCTCGATACCTAAACTCGTAATGCCGAAGTCCCAAAGCCTAACCTTTAAACGCTGAGCCTTAAGTCCTAGGCCCTGAGAGCATGGGACAGGCCCTACGCCGGCTCTACGCCGGCGATGCCAGTGCCAGTCAAGCTTTGGAGGTCCTTTGCATATCGAGGAACTCTTCGTTTTGTTGTAGGGGTTCCTTTCCGGATTCGTTCAAGGGTTCCTTTAAGGATTGTGAGAAGGGCTCCGTTAACGCTTCCTTGAACCGTTTAGGGGTTTCAGGGCTATACAGGCTCCTTTCGGAGTCTTTACGAGCGCTGCTTTGGGGGTTCCTTTCGGGCTGGCTTCTTCGAAGGCTTCCCATCAGGGCTCCTCGAAAGGCTCCGTTTTTTGGGGTGGGTTCCCTTCATAAAACCAAATAGTATGGAAAAGGGTACCCTTATTATTTAGGGGCTACTGGGGAACCTAGAGCATGTCTTCAGGGGATCTTTCCAGGACTCCTTCGAAGATTCCTTTCGTCTTCTGGGGTTTTCCGATCAGGGTCTCTATGTGGGGTTTTATCTACCGGGGTCATGATCGGCTGAGGGTTTGAAGTTCAGAGTCTAAGGCTCAGGGCTCAGATTTCAAGATGATGCTTTGGAGGTTTTAGCGTTTTGGAGTCTACTTGCAGGCTGACGACCGGGAAGCAGAGTTTTGGGTTTGGGCTGTGGGGCTCCTTCCCTAAACCTTAAACCCTGGCCTTTGCATAGGGCTCTGGTAAGGGCACCCGTAATAATTACCAATACTGTTTGGGGGGGCTCCTTGTTGCAATTATAGTTGAATGCACCAAAAACCCTGTTCTAATTATAAGGCCCCGATGTTACAACGTCGGGCCTGCAGCTTATCAATCCCGCGCATATACACTCAAAGCCTAGAGGCGCCAAACAAAGCCACCAAATCGCGAAACTGGAACCCTTATGAGCCCTTGAAAGGAACCTCCCGAAAATAACCTAGGAACCGTCCAAGCAACTCTTGCCGAACCCTCAACAGAAGCCGAAACCCAAAGCGCAAAATCCCCATAAACCCGAAACCCTACACCCTTCAACGACACCCCAAAGCCTTAAAGGAACCCAAAACCTGGAGGCTTTCCAATGCTCACCCAACGCCATCGCTGTAGCCTCGGAGTTGTTGCGCTCCTCCGCACCCGAGGTGGCTAAAGTGCGGGAAAGGTGTGGTTTTCTGCCGGTGTTCAATATTTTGGGTGGTTGCTTATCATAATTGTAGTATATCATATCCCCAACCTTCCCAAACTCTATTCTATTAACTACGGCCCCTACATTATGGGACTATAAGGGGTTGCCATAGGGTTCAGAGCTTTAGGGTTCAGGCACGGAGATGTTGTTGATTTGAGGGCTAAGTTAGGGCTTGAGGGTCTTTTTGGGTATGAGGATTTCAGAACTTCGGGTCCCAAGTTTAGGGGTTTGGGGTTAGGCTGGTAGGTTCAAGGCTGCAGGCTTAAGGATAGCTTGGCATCGCTTTGGCATGTCCATGCCGACATACTTAGACAGGGCTATTAATATAGGGGCCTAAATCATTACCTATATTATTTTGGGCGTTCCTTATTATAGTTTTAGTAGAATATACCCCAA